CCCAGAATTCCCCAGCCAGCATGGCTGGGTGGGGAATTCTGGGAGTTGAAGTCCACACCGCTTAAAGCTGCCAAGATTGAGAAACACTGCCCTAGAATGACATTAAAGAGAAGAAGCACAATACAGTGTCATCTGCTTCTACATTTTAGAGACTCTGGAATACTTGGGGTCTCTCCTATCACGTACAAGTTGGCAGGGATTTCATCCAAACTTCCTAGGATGGAATGCGACCCTCTGCCTCTGGAAAAGGATAGGGTATCCTTCACGTTCTCCTCCACTGCCTGTGTAGCAACACAGCTGGAGGCAAGGACCAAAAGGCAGATCCATCAGCCCAGCCGTGTTCTTGAGGAAAGAGGACCTACCTTCCTGAGATCTCCTCTCGAGCAATACTCCATGGCCAAAAGTGGCACATCGTTAACGAGAAAATTCATCTCTTCCGGCACGTCCTGCGCTTTTACTACATTAGGGTGATTCAGCCTGGAGAAATGAGAGGAAGGAAACGCGCTGGATGCTCCTGATAACAGTTCTCTGCTAGATATTCAGTAAGGCCGAGTGACGTCTTTTGGTATTACCCGGGAAGGTGGAAAACATCAGAGGGGTGGTTACCTACGCGGCCCTCCATCCGGAGGTCCTCAGTTGCGGACAGGTAGGGGTGCGCTGCACGCCCTGCTTTGCTGTCACATTTTGTCCCGCCTCTGACTGCACCAGAGGCGCCCTAATACAGGCGGGATCAGGTGCAAATGGCCCCCAAAGGGATCCGCCAGCAGAGGTCTGCGAGCGACTGGCGGTGAAGAACAGAGGACCGCGCTCCTCCTCCGCTCGCATCAGTACCGGCGGGGTCGCCCGGCTGCGGCCCCCGCCCTCGCTCCCCGCGCCTCCCTCCCCCAGAAACGAAGCAGAGCGGACGCAGCCGCGAGGGGGGCGAGGCTCACTTCTTCATGATCTGGAGCTCCTGGCACCAGCGGTCCTTGTGCTTCAGGCTCAGCTCCAGGCGGCAAGCCTTGACGGCGATCTTCGTGCCCAGCTCCTACGGAGCAGCAGGAAGGAGGAAGCGCAGGAGAGCAGCGCGTTAAGGCGGCCCTCCCGGGGCGGCGCGCCC